GAAGCTAAAAATAAAGTAACTCTAAGCAGCAGTGTTACAACTCTATTCCTAGTTTTTGCATAGTTCCAAAGTGGGAGGGGACTCCTCTCCCCAACTCCTGTCGCTCCCCCTCCCCAAAAGCCCCATTCTCCCTCCCACCTCACCCCCATCCTCCCCCGTCCATCGCTTCCTCTCCTGCCCCTCAGGATTCTGTCCTAGATAAGTTATTGAGGTAAATTTTAGATTGAGGTAAATTTGTGATTAAATTGAGGCAAATTTTTCCCCTCTTCTTTTGCTGTGACGAATTTTCCCTTTTGTAAAAAGGATGCTTTCTGGATTTTTTTTCTTTTATGTGCCGTTAGATGAACCACGCAACATTATTGTAGCTGCACACAAGCATCATAAGAAAAATCCAAATTTGCATAATGCAGTTAATCGTTTATTTCGCCTGAATCGATTTAAATTTGTTTTTTTTTTTTTAGCATCCAAAGAACAAATTGAAGCGGCCCGAGGTTTTGTGAAAAAGCTAACTGCCAGCTATTTTCCAGAAAAATTTTGCAATCCTGGTATGTTGCATGAGATTTTTTTTTAATCTTTTACTTTCATTTAAAGTTTCATACAGTTTTTTTTGTTTTTTTGATGTTTTAGCGGTTTTGCGCGTTTATTAATTTCTTTACAGTTCTGCAGAAACACTATAAAGTGATCGAGGCGTTGGCACTGGATTATGCAGAAATGCCGGAAGTGAAAGATCAGATCCGTTCGTTTTTTTTTTTAAATTTTCTTCAAATTTTAGCATTGGTTAAACTTTGTTAGCTGTTACTGTTTTAATGAATAATTGTGAGGAAAATTCGCTTGTTGAGGTATATTTTAAAAATAACTGTGAAAAAAGTCATGATAAAAAATTAAAAAAAATCATTAAAAAAAAAACTTTTAGAGCCATATTTTGTACACGATGTATTCCGGAAAAGAGTGGAAAAAGAGTTAGACAGCTATCGAACTGCTACGCTCTCTGATGATTATAATCCGGAAGAAAAGAAAAAGAAGGAAACGAAAACCAAAAGAACGGATGACTCAAGTAGGTTTTTGAAGCACAAGCCTAAATCCTTCAAAATAAAAAGAAAAGTAAAAAATTTGAGGAGTTCGAAAATACTTTAATTCATTATAACTGGCGCATGATGTAGGTACGAAAGGTAAAGGAAGTCCGCGAAAGAAGGCGAAACCAGTCAGCGAATCTTTGGAATATCTGGCTACCAACGGAATGGTAAATTTTTCATTTCTTTCGATCTGCATCTCTCTTTTATCTGAATTAATTCTTATACCTTACTAAATTATTTTGTTTCTCACAGTCGTCGTACTGACGAGGTCCAGTTGTGGTAATGGTAAGAAATGTATACGACTTAATGAACCGAAACATTTTTTTACCAACTCTTAAATAATTCTTTAGAACCCTTTCATCGTTTTTTGCTCATATTTTCTCTCTAACCCCAAACCTTTTTCTTCTTGGCTTTGAAATCGTACTGAAGTAAGGTCTCTTACCGGCTTAATTTCAAATTAAGTGATTTTATGATACATTGAAATTTTCTCGGAACATTAATTTATTTCACTGATTATACGTGAACTACTCTGATTTGCTATATTTTACAACCTGGCTGTCTAGCTTTACAACTGACAACTTTTCCAATCCTTTACCCCCAGCGACCAGGTTGCTGGTGTTCCCAAAGTTCGTTTCATTTCCTGAAGAAATTACCAACTCACTGGTTTTTTTTCTTTTTCGTCAAAAGTTTATATTCGAAGGATTTTTATTGTAGGAATTATGTTGAAAAAACTGTTGTGTTCGTTGAATATTAGTTCTGAATTTCATCTTTATTGAAAGAGCAGTCTGTGTGCGGGCACCGACATCAATGACTTTTGTGTTGCTCGATGCAAACAAAAACCAGTGCAGCTGTACCAATATTTTTATGCATTTTTTGCAGCTATGCAATGCCGAAAACGCATATTGACGAGGGATTGTCTGTATTTGTATCTGTGT